GTCTCTCTCCGGTAAAACTTTGAATTTCGAAACTTTCTAAGCAAAATTTTGCTAGTTATCTAAATACGCAACTTTGCTCCCATTCAAGCGACTTTGTATCGGTTTCCCAAATTCCAATGGTGGAGGCCGAATTTAAAAAACCCTATATAAATGTGAGGCAAAAAGATTTTAAAAATGATACAATGGTCCACCCACGAAAAGCCTAATGTGGATCTAGTTCGTTGCTCTCAGCGATTCAAAGATATCTACTGTTAAAGTCATCATGTTGGCTTGGAGCTTCAAGTAAATACTGGATATAAGCACATCCTCTGTGCGAAAGTAATTGAAATACGCTACGTTTCGTATAAAACAGCTGTTTGTCATGCTTTTCCTTTATAGCGACGACAACTGGGATGCCGTATAGTAGGGAAACAGCGTATCTCCTCTTTATGTTGTTGTAAAGTTAACGCTTTGCACTATTACATACCCCAGCCCGTTCCTTTTTATCTTGTTACATGCACCGTTTCACGAAGGCTCATATTACTCTCTATGCAAATAGACACATTCATGACAGCAATACGGAAAAATGCTGCTACTGGAGCCGTTGCTGGCTTAAAGACATCGCAATAAGAGGATTTTAGTAATACAGCCTCAAATAGTTTGCCCTTAACATGCTAAGAATATTTCTACAGGGAGAATGGTAAAACGAATACTGAGTGATGATGAATGAGATCAATCCGAGAAAACTGCAATGAAACTGAAAAATAGTTCATCATACATTTCTATCTAATACACATTCACATGCACAGACACATGTAATAATAATAATGTTTATTGGTCTAACTGCGAAGTTTTCTTATAAATAATAACGGTAGTGTCCAATAAACATAACATATGGCAATAATGGGATTTTAGTTACAACTCAAATAAATTGACTTCAGAATGTTAAGAATATGCCTACAATATTTTATAACTGTTTACGGTACAGACTAAGAAGTGTTTTTGGGTAGACCTTCTGGTTACATGCCGTATTTCCTATATGGACACAAAAAGTGAAAGAATGAATCTGGTAGCAGTAAAACTCTAATCCACAACTCCAGTAATCTATAATATATAAGTATGTTTACCACGTTTTCAACCGATACCTTCGCATTCAGCTAACAATCTGGTCATACCCACGAAGGTGTAGTTGAATGCATTCCACAATGAGTCTCTCCCCTTCCTACATAGAAAATGAATTTCTGTGAACGTGTTGATGCGTTGGTTTCATAGGTTTTGTCCAATTTAATCAGACTATTCTACTGTGAATCGTGCGTACCGTGTAACTCGGTAGACACCAGGGGCATCGCCAATAGAAAACATTGTTACCACTGAATTTCACCTAATGCTAAATCTCCCTCATCATCTGGTCTGGCAATTGCATAAAGAATGATACAGTTTGAACCTAATAGCGTACAGTTAATAATGGTAATCGTCTTTATTGACCAAAAACCGTGGTACATTACGTGGGGCGAGATTTAACACCTGCTATTCCAATACCCAACCCCGTACAAAAGTAACTTGGAAAAAACGAATTATATAAAAACAGTGAGTCAATGGATGAATTCAATCACAATACAATGTAATCCGAAGTAATGTTGGTTCGCGTATGAAGAACCGGAAAAATCACTGACCAAGGATACAAAGTATGAAAACGAAAGAACTTCTTAAGCTACTAGTTGTCCTGAAATTCTTGTAAGCGCCTATTTTCCTGTTTCCTGTGGAATATTGGATAGTCCTAAGATCCTGGTCTAAGTTGTGAGTGCTACAGTACCTACCAAGATCTGCATTTACCGGTGTCATGGACTCGTGGATATTATTGTAGTCATTGAAATCACACTTCAACTGAATATTATCAGCAAAAAATTGCATGTGTACTCTTGAAGTTATCATTTAAGTCTGCAGTGTAAAGTGAAAATCATCAATGTTCCCAGTACTGAGCTTAGTGGTACATGTACTTGGATATATCTTGATTTTTAATATTTACTTTTTGCATCTATCGCCTTAAATATGTCCTAATGAAGTTTTGGGCAGCTTCATCAAAGTCATAGTAGTGCCACTTGGCAATAAGTAGTCAGTGGTTAAGAGTATCGAAGGCCTTAGAAAAGTCTAATAGTACCATCAAGTTAGGCGTTTACTATCGATGGAAGATGTGATATCGTTTCCTGTTATCAATACAGAAGCTATACACACTTATCATCAAATAGACAAATAAAGTCCAACTTTGAAAAAAAAACTAATGCAAAGCTAGTCCATACCTGCTAAGTCCTACTAGTTTTCCAAAAACAATATCAGTTCATCCGAAAGTGCAAATTCTTGTAATTGTCATAAAATGAAGGCTGTCCATTTGTGTCAAGTGAAACTAGTCAAATGCTTTTTATGGCAGAACTTTAATTTTAAAAGCTTGAATTAATGTCCTACCTTTTCTGTCATCCCTGTGGAAGTTTACGTGCCCATCGTAGTGGATATCTGTGATGTGCCAAAAGTATCCTGCAAAGAAAATCATCCAGTTAGTCACTGTACTAGGATCACGACTATAATAATATATGTGTTAACACAACATACATCAACCGGTCAGATTATCCTAGCAAGGATCTAGTTTAGTTCACTTCCTCTTACTAGGCCCAGCCAGTTTTTGCAAAATGTTGGGTTCTGTAGATAATGCTACGCAGTATTTAGATGGTAGCATAAACATACTTTTTCCTTAAGGACCCTCGGGTAGAGAAGTTCTATAAATACGGGAATATCTTCAAATGTTACCCGGAAGTGAAAAAGTTGAGACAAAAAGATCATTTCACGCAGTGCTGGTCGAGCGAGGCGTGGCGAGAGGAGTTGCTGTTGAGGTTGCCTATTAGGGTTCGCTTATAGGACCATTAAAGCTTCGTGATACATGATTCACAGACTTCATTAGACGTTTTAGTTACGGTGAAAGCCTCATAATGTTCGCAGATTGATACGGTTGATTCTGAACTCCACCCTGGCGAAGTGAATATACGCATAACAAGTTAATTGCTAGGCAGATTAATAAAACCCTGACCTTGTAGTGAATCTCGTGTTGATATTGTTTCGCGTCAGGTGTATAAATACATATAGAAAATTGAATCTAACTTTCAAATAACTCGAACCGATTTATTAATCTATATTCAGTCATTTTCATGTAATATTCCCTCCAGGCACGCTCCCTTATTTTGGATTGGTCACTCCCATGCTCACCCTCCATCCCCTATAACTTTAAAACAGATGGATTATGAATTTCTATCAAAAACTACATTCCAACTTCTACACGATCAATCTTATGATGGAATAGCACCTCCAGGCATATTCGCTCACAATACCCCTGCATTTTGCAACGAGAGTTAAGTAAGTAAAATAAAAAAGTAGATTTTTAAGAACAAGCCTTTACAGTTCGATTATCTTTGATTATTCCATATATGATGCAATTTTGTAAATAACTACAGACTAAAAATCCTGAATATTGGACTCTTCTGTTCATGTAACACGCGTCGCACCCTACGGGACACGAATTCTTTGTTTCATAATGCGTAACTGTCGATCTTTTTCCAATGGAACAATACTTGAGTACGCTTCTTTGATATGGAACCCTTTCTATACATATTATTTTTATTACAATCATGTCAGGAACTGTTACAATATCTATTTTTGTGTAATTCTTGTATGTACGCTGTTAGTAAGGTTACCATGATATTCACCTGTAACTGGATTAGTCTGTTGTGCCATTATACCTGTATATAAATAAACAAGCAAACAAACAAACAAAAAAACAAAGAAACAAATAAATACATAAATAGTTAAATAGATAAATAAATAAATAAAATAAATTAATGAATAAATAAACAGCAGCTTATTCTTTCTGCTGTCAAAACGTAAAATGCTTTTATTTGAAAACTTGAGATGAAGTAGCTTCATCATCGCTAAATTCTTACAATCGCAAAAAACTGTTTTTCAACTCACAAGCTATTTTATGAAAAGGTAAACAAGAGTTTGGTTTTGAAGATGCGTTCATTCATTCCATTCCATCTTTTACTGTTTATCATTTATGTCAAGTAACTAGTTTAGTAATTTAATAGTTAATACGTTTGCAAGTTTCAGCAAGCATTCTTAGATTTCGTGTCAGGCTGATAAAACTTATTTTTGTCTTCTGTTGTATCAGCCTCGACAAAAAACATAACCTCACAATAGGAGAGCGCTGGTGCTGGCACGGAAACCTAGAAATACCCCAGCCTTTCTGAAGGAGAGTAAAGGCTATGACAATCAAGGAAGCCATAAAGGCGTCCTACAAATTTTAGGAACGGCTGACAATACAGCCCTAAGTCTTACAATCTTCTTTCCTATCGCCCAAGATCAATGTCTGACTACCAATGGATCAGAATGCTGACATTCCTGTAGTACTCGTATATGTGTACGTACTGAAAGGTAGAGGCGGACGGATATAGAGAAGGATAGGAGGGAGGAACGGATGCAATTAGGGATGGCAGAGAAGCCGCCGGAGACAAACTAGTACATTACGGGGTATGTATTGATGGATGTGCGTTGTGTACTTGGTCGACAGGTGGTTGACGAGACCCAATAATGTGTGTGCTAGAATGGCACGACAGATGCATCGCTGCTAATATTATAAATGAGAAAGTGGGGCTGTTTGTTACTAAATCACGCCAAAGTGGCTGACCGGATCTGGATGAAATTTCGTACCGAGAGATTGTAGTCTGGAGTGGCACATAGGCTACTTTTCCTAGGGAAATAACTTTAAAATGTCTATTTCACGGCTACCAACCCAAATGGCTCAAAAGTACTCACCGTTCATCAAAAAGAATTTTCAGTGTTGGCTTTTAGAGTTGACCTCAGTTTTATACACTACGAGGGATGTCTTTTAAGTTTTGCATATGGAAATAAAACAACACGGTAGGTAGTTTTAAATGACTTTACTGTTTTTCGAAGTATTCTCCAGGAAGATTAATACACATCTAAATGCGCTCGAACCAATTTTCGAAGCACTTATTCCACTCGTTTACTGGCAGATCCAATAGGCATTTTTGAATGCGTCAACAGCTTCTTCTGGTGACTGGAACCTTTAACCACGCAGTCTGTTTTTAATTTTCGGGAAAGTAAAGAAATCGTTAGGACTTAGATTGGGACTATATGGAGGATGGTCCAATAATTCCACGTTTTCTTCCGTTAAATACTGCCTTGTTTTTTGGGCTGTGTGCGAGCTTGCATTGTTTTGGTGGAGGATGATTCTTCTTTTGGGATTGATGTTTCGAAGCTCGGTGATGACTTTTGGCAAACAAATGGTGGTATACCAATCCGCAGTAACAGTTCTTTGCTCATTAAGAGAAATTGTTGCAATATGACCCGCTTTTGACACCAATGTCGCGACCATCTTTTTCGAAACACTTCGAGAACGGATGACTTTTGTTGGCTTTTCTTCACCTTGGAACACCCAACCAGCCGACTGCCGTTTATTTTCTGGACCATAACAGTAAATCTACAATTGATCACCACTAACAATGCTGTACACATTTTTTGAGATACCGGAATTGAAACGGTCAAGCGTTTTTTGACACCAATTAACCCTGGCTGCTTTCTCCTCTTCAGTCAACAGGTGGGGTATCCAACGAGAAACTTATTTTCTTACTCCTAATTCTTCATGTAAATTGAGGTCTTTGAGATCTTCAAGGACGCCTCAATCTCGCGATATGTCACATGTCTATCTTCAATGATGAGTTTGCGCACAGCATCGACGTTTTCCTGGGTGGCTGCCATTGTTGGTGCACCCACCCTGGGATCGTCGCTAAGACACACCCGCCCAAGTTTGAATTCTCCATACCAACGGGAAATTATTGACTGATGTGGCGCTTCGTTGCCGAAAACAGACAGTAACTCAGCAAGGCATTCTTGTTGCGATAATTGTCTCTGAAGGTTGTAATAAATTATGGCGCGAAAATGTTCTCGGTTGAGTTCCATTTTTCTAATGACTTGGTGACACTTACAAATTCACTGTAGTGAGAACGCTGCACATATTGTTGTGAAACTTTGAATTTAAGTTTACTAAAGAGTGAGGTTAAGATTTAGTACTGACGCTCCTTTCGCGCGGCCTACTATGTTTCTATATGCAAAACTTAAAAGACATCCCTCGTAAACACTTCATTTTGCCATAAGCAAAAAAAGAAATCACCGAGGGTCTGGAAAAATGATCTGCATGCACTCGCGAAGCCTCAGTAGCATTCCGAAAGTACTCAACCGTAATTTAAAATAATATGGATCACTCCGTTATTGCTGTATGAGTGTGTCATTTTTGTTTTGTTTTCAGAATCGAGGCGTAAAGGTTTTCAATTCCAACGCGACCAGCACCTGAATTGAGTAATGATGCTATACGTGCTCATGTTGAATCGGATCTAGATGCAGGACCGGATTAGGTTTTGTTTAGGTTTGGTTTATTTCGTGGATCCTGAGATCTCGGTAGCCTCAAGACTTTGGTGTATATGTTTTTCGAGAAAAAACTGCTAATTTTTCCAATATTTACACGTACACACTCGTAAGGTCTTATGAAAGCTTGGTTCTCATGTACGTTGAGAAGCTTCGGTATTCAATATATGGAACCCTTCATGCTTGCGTACCTGCTAGTCAACATCGATAAATAATGTTTCTTCCTTTTGATCATGAAATTCCATGCAATTTCCGACCATTACCTTTGGCGTTCGTCCTATATATCAAAGTGATTGTGAAAATAATAATACTTGTATCCTGTTACCATCAATTATATTGTAGAAAGCCTGTTGTGAGCACGCCACGGATTTTCGGCGCTGTTCTCGTATATCATAAAAAATCAGATTATTATTCCCCCTGCTAATTCAACAACAGATTCTTATCAGACACCCTCGACCCTGCTTCAAAAGAATTATGAATGTTATTATTCTTACGACAGCGCCGCTAAGCAGAACAGCGTTATATTGAAAAACCGACAGCGGCTTTTATGGGGCATCGTAATTCACAATCTGCTGTTATTAAAGCACAGAAAATGTTGCGAAATCACGGTTTCAGGTTTTGTTAATTACGCTGCACGAAAGCTTTACAGCTGGTATTACATCGCCGCAGCCGGAGCCCAAACATCTAATAAATAACATTAGCTAGCAAAAAAGTCAACGCGTCAATGACCTGTTTTAAAGTCAACGAATATTGATTCTTATGAACGTTAACAGTGGAGTCCTTATGTCACATTGAATATACAGACAATTGTTTCATTACAGTATACAGTTTTTTAACCTAAGTTATTCTAAAAAACCACCACAATAGACTAGGGCCTAAGCAACAGATAAGCTTTGCAGCTGGGTGGCTGGCTTGCTCTCTGTCCGATAGATATCCGCTGTATTTGACAGATTCTCCTCTTTATCCCACAATGTCAACGCAGGTGTTCCCCAGGGCTCAGTCTTGAGTCCGACATTGTTCCTCTTACATAACAACTTCGTTTACTGTACGATCAACCTGAACGACAGTATTAATGATGACAGCGTTGTACATTTAGGAACGCAGTGACAATCTCTACCGGTGAGCTGGAGAAAAGAAGACTAGCAACGACTTGCTCCCTGACAACACTACTTGTTTGGGGCAACAAGGTACTCTTTTCCACGACATGCTCACTATATGTTCACCTATTTGGGGTGCTACCGCCCCGACTACATTATCCATGCTCGATGCTGTTCGGAGGAGGACTGTCGGTGATCTGACCTCGGTCCCCCATCCTAACCGTCTCGAACTTCATCCAGAACTAGCCGATATGACCGCTCCTTTGATTATGAAACAATTTACCTGAGGAGGCTTTTCCCAGTTCGAATGACTTCTGGCAGTTCAAAAGTCGGATTAATAAAGTTTCTTCACCTCCTCATAGCAGCTGGTATTTGGGCTTCTGCAACGTCGCTGCTTCGGTATAAAGAAGCTCACTGTCGCGACAGGAAATTTAACAAGGCAGTCTACATAATCAACAATGACAACTATTACAGCGAATTCATTTTAGAAATAAAACCAAAATGGCAATAATAAGAAACTTCAAGAAAATACATTTGAATTCGACTAGCTCGACCATCAAAGAAGGACTTCAGACAGCTTGAGGAGAGACAGAATCGCTTCGACCAGGATCTCGTTTCAGCCGATGGTAGGCCACGTGGAGGAGCACCTCAGCAACTGGAACTATAAGAAGCCTCAAAGGAAGACACCTTCCAGTTCAACTGAAGACGGTTGAACATACCTTATCAATCGAAATGTGTTACTCAAATTCTATTTTAGACAATGGAAGTCCGAAATATTTTTTTTAAAATCCACATTGTGTACAAATATCAAAAAATTATAAATATAACAGTTTTGAAGCCTTTTTTCTATCATAGCAACGAGATGACATCACAGACGTAAATAATAATAATTTATTCATCATTTGGGTCACAAAGTGACATAGGATGAGTCAATGGAACATTTGTATGAAAAGACTTGCATACTTTACAAGTATCAAATAAAAAACACGAGGTGGATAAACATGAACATAAGTAAAAACGGCAACAAATCAACAATTTTAAATTAAATACATTAAAATAATTCAAAATGACACATTTAAAATGCTTCTATCGAGTAGAAAGCTTTATCCAGTAAAACTAGCATGAATCTTTTTTTAAATAATGCCAGCGTTAGTGATTTAAGATGCAATGGGTAGTCTGTCGGAGAGCTTCATCGCCTTGTACTTGGGACTCTCCTACGTTCTCGACAACCTATGTGACGGTATCTCCAACACATCTCTGTTTTTTTGGTACTGTAAATTATAACATACGCATCCGATTTACACCAGAAACAAGGTATTGAAAGAGTGTCTTTGTAATGATGTTTAACAGTATGATGGGTAACAAGTATGAAAGGCAAAACGGCCAAGTGAAAAGTCAATATCAGTGAGTTTAAAGTTATAGAAACAGCAGTTTTTGATTCTCCTGGAGAAATTGAAACTCCTTAACCCAGATATGCCGACGCGATTCCTAACGATTTCTTTTTTTTAAATCATTATACATTAAAGATTTGAGGAAGACCCAATAATACTCAGAAATACTTTTTTACATATATTTCCCCAAAAAGTAGTTTTTTTGAACTCCAGGAAAATAAGATACTTAAAAAGTAGATTTTTTGACGTCCTATATATAGGACATCAGGAAAATAAAATGTTGCAACATGAATCTAATTTAATGGGTATGGTACATAATGGAACATTTAACGCGCAGTCCTATGTCACATTTATATCTTCTGGTCGTTGTTTTCTCATGGCAATAGCGACATCTAGTTTGAGATTTTTGTGGGATGACTAAATGATCGAATAATGATTGGTTTGATCGGTAATGGTACGCAAAATATTATCGTTAAACTAGAGTATAAATAAATCGATTGGCGAATAGGTTACATTTGTAGTAATTTCATCCGACACCGGGAAAATACATGGCAAGCCTTCACGGACAAACTTATAGTCTTTCTTCTGTCTTCTCACTTTAGATACTTCCTTTTTGTTTTGGAAAGAAGTAAGTGGTAGATCATCCTCAGAGTCCCAGTCACTTTCTTGCAATGTTCGATATGTAACTTCTGCTTTCGACTGTATTTGACTTGATGGTAAATTGTTTATATCAACTTCATCTTCTTTACCTGAGTCTTCATCAGTGACATCATCACATGCATTAATAGGGGGCAAAAGGGTAACGGGTTCAGCTTCGACATCATCTTCTTCTATCATAGCCAATACTTCATGCAGCGAGAAACCTCTGAAAATAAATTTCCAAAATCATCACCCATATTCCTAATGTCCTATATATAGGACACCATATTTCTAACCCTTACAATTAGTACCTATATTCGAAAAATACATCTAAAACTAAGAATCATATAAGTTCACACACTTATCGATGCAAAATGTTATAAAAAATATGTTTCAATTACTTATAAATGCTCCAAAAATATTTACCTTGTAAAGCGATCTCACTACTCTGCCATTATGCCGAAAGCGAAACGTTTACCTCTGTTCCAACAGCTAAAATTCCAAAACCCGTCAGGAAAGACGTACACGCAACGTCGAAATCTAGCATGTATTAACCATTTCCGCAAAAGCGCAGACAATCACCAGCCACTAAACAACAAGGTAGGACTTAGAACTGCCGTCCTACATGTAGTTCATTAGGCATATAAGGGTTAATAACACTCTTGGAACCTAACTAGAAATGACTAAACGTCACATTAAAATTACCAACATCATTGAAAGAGTTATATCTGGAGAAACTAAAATTACCAAATGGTAACAGAAGAGGGTCGCTAATTATAAATAGTACTTTTGTTCTATTGGCTATGCAACCAGCCATCAAAGTCCAGGCAAATAGGATCGGTAATACAACTTTGATCGAATAACATTGATACCACGCTTGACTGTACTCTGCACATAACATTTTAATTAATCCGCAGTCATATCAGTTTCATTTATAATTAAGCAGCAAAGCATTGACATCCCTGAAATAAAAATGTTTGATCAAAAAAGCTACCTGATAAACCGTATACAGCGACACTGGCAAAATACATGGGGAATACTGATACTCACTTAAAACATATAAAACCTAGTGTAGGACCATGGCAATATCCTATCAGACTGCCACGAGAGGAATGGGTGCGCATACATCGCTTACGCATTGGCCACACACGTCTTACACATGCACATCTTTTGCTCAGAACAGATCCACCCTTGTGCACTGGATGTAACTCTTCACTTACTGTACGCCACATTATCTGCGAATGTCCGATATTGTCCCAATATCGAGTGATCTATGGACCATTTGATGACATATAAAGTTATATAGATATATAAAGTAAAAAGAAGTGGCCCAAGAACCGTCCCTTGATGCACTCCCGATGATATTAAAGCCTCAGGAGAAATGTTCATATCGATGACAGTTCTTTGTGAT